GCCACCTACATCACCAAGTAGTTTATGCTCTACAACCTGGAGGTCGGGAAGCACCCGTTCTTAGAGCTGGATCAGACTCCGAGATATTATCCACTCCAACCGCTTCCCCTGGGGCCTTCGAGTTAGGCTTCCTAATACTTATCCATTCCGGAATGAATCACCTACGCTGTCTGGGGGGGGATGGGGGGTGGGGGGTCAATTTTCTTTTACAAAAGGCAGGATTTAAACTAAGAGAGCTTCCTGGTACTTTGGCAAACTTGGATTTTTTAATTTCCGTACATGCTGACATGCTGAGGAAGATTCAACGAGGTCCTGAGGTCACCTCAATAATGAAGTCATCAAAGCTGTGACCATCAGAGACAGCACGTCACCTCCTGGTGACAATGTAGAGCGGCAGGGCAGGCTATGAAACAGTGTTTCATAAATGTTGCTGGTTCTTAGTTCTGAATCTTAGTGTTGTTCTTTTCTTAAGTTGATTTGGGCAAACATGTATATGTGAATACAGATTTTCCAAGTTACATTCACGCTTATGGTCAACCCAAACCCCGAGGGTTGTTGTCATTGTTTAACTCAACCAACATTTCTATTTTAATTCATCAACGTGACAGCCACTTTCCACCAGAGCCATTTGTTAGACGTCTGGGTTGACCAACTGTTCCAGTTTGTCCCGCGACTCAGTTTCAGCACTGAAGGTGTGTGTACAGGGAACAACTCTGTTTCGGACAAATAAGGATGGTTTATTACTCTGCTGCCGGCGCTAGGTTTGGCCTTCGGATCTGCACAGCGGAAGTGTCTCAAAGTGGATAGAAAGGGGACTTGCTACAAAAAGAGCTGAAAAAATTTCAATCTCCATCAACAACTCCGGCTACATTCTATTCCAGAGATGGTTTTCAAAAATTAACCCAGGAGTTCATTTCATTCACAGGTAAGATATGCTGTCTTACTTTGCAGGGGATGACCCACCTAACGTATGGAGGAAATTAGACCATACCAGAAATTAGCTACAGTAAATACCACTACAGTGAGGTTCTGAAATATTGTGTTATTTTTTCCTTCAATTTTCACCTTTTAGGGCCTAATAAATAAAGTATAATATGACAGGCAGACATAACAGCATAAAATAAAAATCTCACATTTCTTTGCTGCTATTCAAAGACCTTGGAACCTGCACACTGGAGGCAAACTTTTCAGAGTTGGAGAAATGCCAAAAGCAGCACTCTATCCTGAGGCCACACCCACAGTACCAGAAAGTCTGGCCAAGAAAGGAGCCCTTGGACTTCAACCTGTCCACCCGATCCCATGCCAAATGTGCCAAGAAAACCAAAAGCCTTCAGCGCCTGCACCTGGAAAACAGGATTTGCAGAGTCAGGACAAGACCTTGCTTCATCAGTTCGGGAACCCTAAAGCCTCTCAACCTAAACAGGAAAGTGTTAGATAATCTTATCTCTGCTACCTGTGGTATTTCTACCTTTTAAAGAGATTAAGGCGAGAAATTGCTTTGGAGTACACAGAATAATAGCCCCCAAACAGGTCCCTGTCCTAATCCCTAGAACCTGTTAATATGGAACCTGGTGTGAATAAAGGGACTTTGAAGATACGATTAAATTAAAGACCCTGTGAAGAAGAGATTATCCTAGATGATCCAGGTGTTCCAAATTTATAACATGGGTCCTTAAGATAAAAAAGCCTTTCCTGGATGAGTTCAGAATTAGAGATAATTACGGTAGAAAGACAGAGATGTAATGCTGTTGCCTTTAAAGATAGAGGAAAGTGGACCTTCAGAAGCCATAAAAGTCAAAGAAATTAATTCTCCCCTAGAGCCTTCAGAAAGGAATGCAGCTCTGTTGCTACTTCGCTTTTAGCTCGGAGATCCCTCCAGAACCTAACCTGCACAACAGTGAGATGATACATTTGTCTTGTTTTATACCACTGGATGTGACCATTTGTTACAGCAGCGATAGGAAATAAATACATTCTTCATCATTGCTATTCAATGCCTTAGTAGTATTTTGCTTTAAACCCCAATGTGGCCATTGCTTACCTAGTGTTTAATTTGCTTCTCTACATAGACTTAAAAAATAGATTTTAGTACCAGAGTAAATATACTCGAAATCCCTATGACAGTACAAAACAACACTTCCTTTCACATGTCTGCTTTATTTAGTTTCTCTCTTTGGTTTGTTAGCACAGAGACCACTTACGTAAGGAACCACTGAGCATAACTGAAACCAATAATTTTGCAAGAGGCAAAAATGCTTTTAGGTGAGAGTACAAAATGCCAAATAACCTCTTTCAAGTTGCACGCTAGGACACAGTAGTTCCCAATGTCTCCGACTATCACAGTGACCGGAAGATCCCCCTGGCCTCACATGAGCCAAGGCCAGGGTAACAACAAACACAGTGAAGAATTGTCCCCCTCAACATGCTGCAGCCCCCATTGAGAAATTCTTCTTGGATTGATTTAAACAACTTAAAAACATGTATTAGTACAGAAGAAATCAACCCAAATAGTAGACAAAGAATATCAAATACTTATAAAACAGTCTTCATTATGTGTCATATTTGGTAGAGTGTAGGGATGGCTCAACCCTCACCTGTAAGATGTTAAGTACTGACCTCCAAAAGAAACTCATCATGGAGTAGCAAAAGCTATACACAGTCTTAAAAGCAGACACACATACAGGCCTTTTGTTTAATAAGCTCTAGACCAGAGATTCTCAATCCTGGCTGCACATTAAAATACCTGGGAAGCTTTTAAAAACGGCAGATGTCCAGGTCCTGCCCCAGGGACTCTGATTTGACTAGTCAGGGCAGGGTCCACACAGGAGTGTTTTAAACTCTTCCCTGGAGACTCTGATGTGCAGTCAGGACTAGGAACCGCCACTTAGTCCCCATCTGTGAGCAGGCTACCGGGCATATCTACCTGGACGTGACCACCCCACGGAGTTGAACTCTCTCTTCCTGTATTTGTAGCCCAATTATCACAACCCACATCATCTCCCAAAAGAGAAATCTGGCAGTTACTCCAGATGTCTTCGGGCCCTTCACTCCCCATCCTTCATCAGCAGTTCCGTCAGCCCTCCCGTATCAGGCTCAACATTCCCAAACTTAAGACCTCTACTGGTCTCCCTCCCGCTAGTCTCTCTCCACATCTTTATACTTTACTCTGCAGCCTGAGGAATTATCCTTTGAAAGAATGTGCCCTTCTCTGTCCTCCCACCCAAACTAGAACCCACTCTGGAGCCCAGTCCTTGGAGGCCTACCCGAGCTCCATCGGCCGGCTTCTCCAGCCACGTCCCTTCAATGTCCCAACCATGGCACAGCCACTGCAAATTTCCAAAGGTTCCAGCACGCTCTTTGGGATGTCTGTGTACTTTCGCATGATTCCTTATTCCCAGAATTCCTTTCTCTAACTTCATGTCTTCACTCAAATAAAGTCCACTTTGTCCAGCAAGCCTCTCACCAAACTCCACACCAGGCTGGTCCTCTCCTGTCTCACCCCACGCGCTCCACTCAGAGACCTCCTTTTTTTTTTTTTTTGCAAGTTTCTCTCTCCCATGAGATCAAGCAACTCTGGGGTAAGACCTGTGTGTTTTTCATCTCCATATTCCCGGCATCTGGCATTCACTCACTTGTTCATTCAATCAACAGTTGTATTAAATATGTAGCAAGTGCCAGACGCCTTGCTAGAGACTAAAGGCAAAATGCTTCCTCAGAGCTTATGTTCTTGAAAGGGAGGCAGATAACTGAACAAACATGTATGGTAAAATAAGAAGGTACGTGAGAGGGTTGGAAAAGGTGTTTTGTGTTTTTAAGTTTCCAGTGCATTAAGAAATGAAAAAAATGTCAACACAGGTTTTTAAAAGTGTGGCACATTTTAAATGTTTATATTTAACACAGTTATAGGATGAGTGTCATCTTTTCATCTTGTCAGCGTCTCTCTGGCAGAGAACCTTATCTGGAGATGTCAGAAGTCCAAATTTGAAGACTTCATAAGAGTGAGGTGGAGAAAGTTGGCTCTCGTGTCCTAAGAAGGTTCTGACACTAGTAAATACTAAATATTTGCTGAAAGAATATTTGCTTAGTCAACTAAGTCATTATAAGTAGGTTTTATTTCTCATTAGCATTTTGCTTTAGCCACTAAATAATTATGTAAATACATGATTAAAAATTCAACAACAAAATTCAAGCCACTGTCACATAATCCAATGGGAAAAGAAGAGGAGTAAAACTAGACTGGGTGTGAGTTGATCATTGTTAAAATTAAATGAATAGGGCTATGGACGTTCGTTCTATTGTTCTCTTGATTTTGGTATATACTTGCAATTTTTCCTCATAAAGTTAAATTTAAAATTTAATAAAGTTAATAAAGTTAAATTTCACTGACTAGAGGAAACTGTCTGTCTTGGTTGGGGAGAACACACACTTTATCACCTGTCTCAACAATATGGTGACCTTTCAAATCTACGACCAGATTAAAATGGCTTTAGCTAGTTTCAAAAACCAAGTCAGCTCCTTCAAGAAGAAACCCCACCAGCATTAAACTGACCTTTTATTGTAGTTATTGTTGCTGCTGCTAGAAATGCCCTTACCATGTCTACAACCTATCTGTTAAGAACAGGGTTTCCCCTCTCTGATCTAATCTCTGACCTACCTAAGGTCTGTCTTTCACAGGGCATGTTCTCAATGGCTGCATCCCATGAGTGCCATAGGAATACATGTTGCAAAGGCAGCGACCTCAAAGGCTCTCCCCAACATGGGTTTTAGAAGAAAATGGGGAAATCTGGGTGAGAAATCTGATTTTAACTATCAAGCAGAGCCATTTTTTTCCCCTTTAAGTCCTGAAGTCATGTTGCTATTGCTACAGATGCTATGACTATTTGATAAATATCACATGTCAAATGCTTTCATCTATAGCATCACTTAGGATATTTATTTTCCTCTTGAAGTTCTGGTTATATTCAAGAAGATCCAAGAGGAAGATATTTCAGAATCCTTACCTTTCCAGGTCCCGAAGCCTGAGGCTCTCTGGCAGATCTGGCTGTCAAGAAAGAGAGAGGAAATGTGTTTTTTAGAAAAAGGAGAAATAACATGCTACGTGAGAGCTGAACAAGCAGATGAATGTTTTGTACGTGGCGGGCTGGCTGTAAGAGCAGGAAGGTCTGACAGGTTTACACTTCTGAGCCAAGAAACAGATATGTTGTTAATTCTTTTTATTTTAAGAAATATATTTGTGAAAACAGGAGTTCCTTTCTTTGTGAATACCCCTCGCCTGAAAGAAAATATGAAAACGCAAAGTTGTCTGGGGACCCCGGGGAGGCAGAGTTCTTGGTGACAGAGGCCGGTGAGATGAACAAAAACAATTTGCTCCCAGCAGGACAAAGTGGCAGAGATGGAGCATGTTCTTTATCCAGGAGTTAGGGGCAGATTGGAGTTCTATTTGTAGGTATCTAGCGCTTTAAGAGGGTATATGGACAAGTTAGTGATTATAAAAGCATCTTTAGCATCCAAAGCTTCTGTAGAGGCACCTGTATACCCAGCACTTATGATTTCTGAAGATGTTGAGCAGATTTGGCCTAACTGTGCCTACCATCCAAATATGGTGCCTATCTAAGAAAGTGCCTATGTTCAGGAGAAGCTACGCAGCACTCAGCTCAAAGGGAATACCTCTGCCTCAGGAAGTGCTTTACCATTCCTATTTTGTGGTGGCTCAGAACAAAGAAGTACCTCACATCTAACGTATGGACTAAGCCCTGGCTGGTTTGGCTCAGCAGTTAGAGCGTCAGCCCGCGGACCAATGAGTCGCGGGTTCGATTCCAGTCAAGGGCACGTACCTCAGTTGCGGTTCGCCCCCGGCCCTGGTCAGGTCGTGCGGGAGGCAACCAATCGATGTGGCTTGGCTTTATCACATCGATGTTTCTCTCTGTGTCTCTCTGTCTCCCTTTCTCCCACTCTATCTGATGATAAATAGAAAAATATCCTTGGGTGAGGAATAAAATAAATAAATAAATAAAATAAAATAAAGTACAGACTAAGGGTGAAAATCCAATTCGTATTGGGTCCTAGCAGCCAATCAAACACCAGTGTCTCTAGTGGTCTCACATTGCTGAAGACACATGCTTAAGGCGTTCTCCAGTCTCAACCCAACCAATTATAGTCCCAGATGACTTTAAGGATCATATGTTTTCAAATGAACCAAAGTTATTAGAAAACTATTATTATGATTAATGACAGCAAAAGAAAAAACAAAAAAACAAGCCAAGGGCAAAAACAACCTATTTTCAGAGAATGAACCCTAGGGAGAACAATGATTAGTGGGACTACCAAATAAGCCTGTTCAAGGGAGCTCCAGCATGCTCGTATATCATGAGCAACAGCATAAATCAGCAAAACTTCTCTGGAAAGCAGTTTGGCACCATTTATCAACATCCTCAAATCTTTTCTCAGTCATTGTCTTGGAGATGCCACACCTTGACTTTATGCAAAAATTAATAAGTAGCCCTGGCCGGTTTGGCTCAGTGGTTAAAGTGTCAGCTCGCAGACCAAAGAGTCGCGGGTTCGATTCTGGCCAAGGGCACATACCTCGGTTGCGGTTTGTCCCTAGCCCTGGTCAGGGCCCTGATGGGAGGCAGCCAATCGATGTGTCTCTCTCACATTGGTGTTTCTGTCTCTCTCTCCCTCACACTCTATCTGAAGATCAATGGAAAATAAATAAATAAGTAAAATCCAAAATGTAGACAAAGAATTATTATCATATGTTAAAAACAGCCTAAATATCAGCCCTGGCAAGTTTGGCTCAGCGGTGGAGCGTCAGCCTGTGGACCAATCAACCTCAGGTTTGATTCCGTCAAGGGCATGTACCTCGGTGTGGTTCCCCCAGCCCTGGTCGGTGTCATGCAGGAGGCAATAGTCAATGTGTCCCTCTCATGTCAATGTTTCTCTCTCTCTCCCTTTTTCTCTTTCTCTCTCCCTCCCAATATATCTGAAGATAAATAGAAAAACATTCTCAGGTGAGAATTAAAAAAAAAAAATAGCCTAGATATCAAACACAACCCATCAAATAAAACAGAGAAACTCCACATGATGGAACTTTAAAACAATGAAAACGAAAAATTTAAATGAGGAGAAACACAATGATATAAAGTTATGTGAAAGAAGAATATAAAATTTTATATATAGTATAACCTCAACTCATTTACTAATATACGTATTTACAAATACATATTTCTAACACATTTTCTATATTTTTTCATATGTAATATTCTTTTACTATATCATATATATTTTCCAGTAAATATTATACATCATCTCACTGAAATATATTTTTCTAGAAAAAAAGACTAGAAGGAGATACGTCAAAATGTAAATAGTGTATTCTTTTGTATAGAATAATAGAAGTAGCAGAAATTGTTAGATTCCCCAATATCTGCTCTCTTCTTATTCCATGCTTATAATTGAATTCTAACCTAGCACATACCACTTACATGTCAAAAATAACTACTTTTCCCAGCCTCCCTTGCTGCTAGGTGTGTGGCCATGAGTCAAAGTTCAAAGGAATGGCTGCAAAGTGATATGTACAACTTCAGAGTCATGCCTTCCCCTTCCAACTTTCTCCCTTCTTGCTGGGTATAGTGGGATCCTTATGGCAAGTCATGTGAGACCCTGAGGCAAGGGAAATATGCTAGGAATGAGGGCAGAACGTGATGTAAGAAGCCTGGGTTCCCTGATGATCTTGTGGAGAAGAGCTATCTTACCAGCCTGGACCACCCACCTCTGGATTGTTATGTGAAAAAGAAATAACTCCCAGCATTTGTCAGCCACTATGAAATCAGGTCTCTTACATGCAGTTCAACCAACAACCTAATTAATGGAAAGGGTTATTCTTATCTTTTTCTTTACAATTTAAGCATTTTCCAAATTTTCAATAATCACCATGAATTACTTTGATCATTAGAAGAAAATTTTAAGTTAAGCTCCGCTTACTGATGTTAAGAAAATTAAGATAGCACATATGCCTTCTTCCCACATAGGAGGAAAAAAATGGAATCTGTAGTCATAAGTCATTACTACATCACATGCCAGTGCACAGATGTTTTTTGGTTTTTTTTTTTTTGGTACATGCCCCGAGCGGGAACCGAACCTGAGACCCTCTGGTCCGCAGGCCAACGCTCCAATCACTGAGCCAAACTGGCCATGGCTCCAGGGCACAGATTACACACAAACCCCCCGAGTCTGTGTGACCCTTAGTCACACCCCATAGCACTTCATGTGAAACCTTTTGAAAAATAGTTTTAATCAGGGAAAGTTGTTTAAGTCTAAACAAAATCTGCTTAAGGAATACACTTAAAAAAATAAAAAACTCTTGTCAAGTATTACAGTAGTTACTTCTTATCTGTGGTTTCACTTTCCATGGTAAACCATGGTTCAACAATATTGAATGGAAAATTCCAGAAATGAATATCTCATTAGTTTTAAATTACATGCCATTTTGAGGAGTGTGATGAAATCTTGCACCATCTTGTTCTATTCTGCCTGGGATGAGAATCATCTCTTTATCCAGCATATCCGCAATGTATATGCAGCCCTCCCAGTGGTCACTCAGTAGCCTTCTCAGTTATCAAATTGATCACCATGGTAACCCAGGGCCTATGTTCAAGTAATCTTTATTTTAGTTAAAAATGGCCCGAAAACACAAGAATAGTGATGCTGGCAATTAGAATATGCCTAAAAGAAGAAGTAAAGTGCTTCCTTTAAGTGAAAAGGTATGTAAGTATAGGAAAAAACATAATACATATAAGGTCGGTCCTATCCAAGGTTCAAACATGCAATGGGATTCTTAAAAATGTATCCCACACAGCCCTGGCCGGTTTGGTTCAGTGGTTAGAGTGTCGGCCTGCAGTCCGGAGAGACCCGGGTTTGGTTCCCGCTAAGGGCACGTACCTCGGTTGCAGTTTGTCCCCGGCCCTGGTTGTGTCGTGTGGGTGGCAGCCACTCGATGTGTCCCTTTCATGTCGATGTTTCTCTCTCTCTCTCTCTCTCTCTCTCTCTCTCTCTCTCTCTCTCCTTCCTCCCACTCTATCTGAACAAAATATCGAAAAATGTCCTCGGGTGAGGATAAAAATAAATAAATAAAAAAAAATGTATCCCACACAGATATGGGGAATTAGTGTGAGGAACTACTGTATATTTAGCCATTTAAGAGGCTACAAAGACTTCTTCTTTTTTTTTTTTTTATCCTCACCTGACATGAAAGGGACACATCGAGTGGCTGCCTCGCATGACCCAACCAGGGCCAGGGACAAACTGCAACCGAGGTACGTGCCCTTAGCGGGAACCGAACCCGGGTCTCTCCAGACCGCAAGCCGATGCTCTAACCCCTGAGCCAAACTGGCCAGGGCTACAAAGACTTCTTAAACTGAACCAAGAAACATTCTTAAAAGCAGTCTTGTATGTGCACTAACTCGTACCTTTAAGGGTGTTGTTTGTTCTCCCTATAGAATCATAATAAATCACTCTTACAGCAATTCCACTGGCCCGACAACTGCTGACTGTCCATCAACAGAGTTTTTGATTTCACTTTCCCCTGGAGGGGTGACAGACTTGGCAGGGCTCACATAACCTTCCCGGTCTCCTCTGTGACCTAGGGGCCTGCATTATAGGATGACTGTCCAAGACAAAGGAGTCCCAAATACAGTAAAGATACGTGGTCTACTTAGGGGTCAGATCTGGAAGAATGGCCTCACTAAAACCAGTCTCTAACCATATTAGAATAATGCACTGAGGATCCTTTAAATCTGCAACACTGTTATGCCAGTGGCATTCTGTGCCTTTTAGAGGATCATTAAAGCCCTGTGCACCCGCATATAAGACAGTTCACCAGGTAGACCTTAGAGATTTATATGTAATAACAGATCAGATTATAAACTCTCTTTTTCCTCCTTCTTCCCAAGAGATTGCCAAATGGTCCTTTTCGCACCCATGAATCACAACACCCAGCACTAATATGGCTAACTTGTATTCAACAACAAAGGCAGGAT